ATGATATTTGTAGTTATAATGGTGGAGCAAGAGAAGAGTGGCAGCTTACTACAGTGATCTCTGAAATACAAAAACCATGTATTACTCTTACTTGCATATCCTTAGTTCTTTAGCAATAGCTGTGCTTAGAGAGGTGTCTTTCCCAATGTAAGATAATCTATATTATATTCTGATGCAACTAACTGCATCATTCTGTTAATAAACAAATGGAAAAAAGTGCTACATTCTGATATATTCTCTGTGCCTAACTGGTGTTTCATATTACCTTTTTAATTTGGTTATTTCTTGGAGGAAAATGACCTGAGCCTTTATTTATACTTAATTCCAATATCATATAGCACAAACCAAGTATATTAACAAAGCTAAAACAGTCCTTTATTTTTGCCTAATGAGCACAGAGACATGTTATTTTTTGTTTTTCCTAAATTTCCTATCAAGGCAAACCACCCGACTCTGCTTATATCCTATGTTAAATATCTACAGAGCGTCTCCAGTGAAATAATAAAAGATCTAGTCTCTAGTGGATAACACAAGTAAATTTATCAAATGAATTTGTAAATTTGTTAAATATATTACTCCTTATTTAAAAATATTAGCTTCCCTTCCAACTGAAAATGTTTGAGTTGTATTGGATCACTTTTTGCCACTGGGACAAAATACCTGACATATGTGAGGTATGATTATAAAATATGGTGAACATTTAAAAAATTATTACAGTAAAAGACATATTGTCATCAATCCTTCTCAAAATATTTCCCCTTATTCTGAACACAGTTATCCCCTCACACTTGCCATTTTCTGAGGCAGTTCTGGAAGTCTTCTTCCATGTTTCTAGTTCCATTGTCCTGGCTGCTTTGATGTCCTGCACTGATTGATTCAAGATGTTTATCTTTCATGGTTATTTTGAGGCAGAGCCTGTCTCTCTATTGGATGGCACGTGTAGCAGTATTCATTGTTTTCAATCACACCTTGTAAAGACACTTGCGAAAGAGTTCCAGAACACCTTCAGAGTGCAGCAAGAGTGATGGGATAAGTACGTTCAAAGCAAGGGGGAGAATCTGCATGCAGAAGGGGTTGAGGGGAAATGTGTCTTTTACTTTAATACTTAAAAAATTTTTTTTAATTATACACTATATTTTTTGATAAGCCCTTTTACACAATTTCAAAGGGGAGAGCTTTGTTTGGCTTATGGTTTCAGTCCATGGTTGGCTGGTTTCTAGGCAGAAACATCAAAATGGAAGGGCATGGCAGAGCAAAGACACTTAGTTCATGATGAATGGAAAGCAGAGCAAGTCAACGCTGCCAGAAAGGAGGAGGCCAGCAACCAGATATAAGCAAGGTCGCACCTCTATGACCCACCTAGACACACCCAGAAACGTGCTTTACTAAGCCCCTAGATGGCTCCCAAACCAGCCAATCAGACAATTCATACCGACAGTGATTAAAGCTGACTCTGCTCCCTGTGAGACCCGAAAAAGGGGGAAATATGCAGGCAAATGAGCAGGGACACTGCTAACACTCTCAGTGGACATTATTCCAGGGAGAGCTGCAAGACAGTGAATAAGATTTCACAGCAATTTTTTTTTCATGAGTTGTTTTTCTACCATTAAATACGAAGTCACATGCCACTATTTTGACATTTTTATTTTGGGTGACGCACAGTTTAAAGTGTACGGTATTGGGCTGAGGATTTAGCTCAGTGGTGCTGCCATCTGCCTTGCAAGCACAAGGTCCTGAGTTTGATCCCCAGTACCAAAAACAACAACAACAACAACAATAAAGTGTATGGTATTTCTCATGGAAGGAGTTAACCAAAAATAATATATATGAAAACAGAAAGGAAATTACTTTCAGAATCAGCTAAACACACATTTCCATGAAAAGAAAGAAGCTGCATGTAGATGTGAACTCACAAAAGGAAATTATATGGAATTTTTTGTGAACAGGTGCAAATTAGCCTAAAATGTTGAATAAACAGTAAAGGTAAAACTACTAGAGACTAAAGACAGTATTGTAAAAACTTGGGAAAGCTGTTAATTAATTTTTAAGATTTTTGTTTAAACCTCTGTAAGGATGACTATCATTTGAAGAGGCTCTCAAACTAGAACATTTATTGTAAAGACTGTTTTGGAAGAATTATATCTACACCTCTCAGTCTAACAGAAATGTTCAAGTCTGTGACAAGAGAATATTTTCATACCCTGTATGAAGATGGAATGTCATATTTCTTTTTAGAGTCACCTTACATAAAAGACCCATTTCTATAGCCTCACATGTTGTCACTGGTTGGAGTTGAAGACATTAGGGCAAACAGACTGAACAAATCAGGGCACGATTCAAAGCTCTTATGATTGACTCAGAATACCTCTAAATCTTTAAAAGGAACAACTCGGGATAAAAATAAAGGGCAAATTCTAGGGAGATACAGTAATTTACTTTTGATCAAAGAGAGGAGATGCAGAATGGGAAATTCTTCTGAAATACATTATTGCTGAAATCAGGCAAGTTTAAAAATAATAAACTGAAGTAAAGTTTTTATGTAATAATAAAAGCATGAAAAAACTTAGAAAGTAGGAATCTCCTAAAGAAAATAACTGACACAATTGATGTATATATTTCAGATATTTTACACACACACAAACACACACACACTATACATATCCACACACATAATTATAGTTTTTCTATTTAAAAAGTACAATATATTTGCAACTTTTAAAAAATTTATTTTGGTCATTTATAAATGCTAGTATATAGATGTTTATCTTGTTCCTTGTAATGGATGCACAACACTTTACTATGTGCCTATGGTATCATTATTTAAATTCTTTCCTCCTGATGAATATGTGGGCAGTTTAGTGTTTCACTATTTAAAACAGTGCTGAAAATAAGACTGTTATAAAATGTGTTGCTGCACACTTAGGTATTAATGTGAAGTAAACTCCTTGTGATGTATGCAGGTACTGTGAAATAAGCACTGAGTTTTTACATATAATTTTGAAAGAAAAAAATAGGTAATTATTTTTCAGAAAGTGCTTCATGTTCACATATAAAACTAAAACTAAGAGATGAAAGGGAAATCAACCCATCAATAAAAAAGGAAGAAAGTATGGTAAATAGAAAACAAAATAAAATGTAAAAATAACTCAAAATATAGAAGAAATAATACAAATATAAAAATCTTTCTATTAAAAGATAGTATGAGCTGGGATTTAGATTAGTGGCACTGTGCCTGCCTCACAAATGCAAGGTCCTGAGTTTGATCTCTGGTACCAAAAAAAAAAAAAAAAAAAA